CTTTGTACCAGGTATCCAACTCATGACCTCGGGCTTGCAAGACTAGCGCTTATGCCGCTGAACTAAATCCCCGGCTTGAGGTTGTTTTTAAGAGATATGAGAGCACTCTAGTCCCATCCAGATGCCAGCAGCTTTTACTGGCACATCCTGCCTTCCCATGATCCAGGCAGGGATTCAGACAGATGGCCCAGCAGGATTCTCAAAATCCTCTGACCCATCAAGACTGAGATATTGCGCCTAGCTAAGACCACAGAGCGTCCCAGGCACCCCTGAACAGGCAGGCAGGCATCAGCGGCTCAGAATTCGAGAATGCCCAGCGCTGCACGCACCTCTATGGTAAACTGATGGGGGGGGGGGGTACGGGGTCTAAAAAATAAGTTTATAGCAGTCTGAGGTGATGCCACAAGCCTGTAATCCAGCACTCTGGGAGGCTAAGGAAGGATTTGCAACTCTGAGCCCGGGCTGGACAATTTAACGACTTAGTGAGATATTTTTTCAAAAAAAAAAAAAAAAAAAAGGACTGGGGTGTAGCTCCAAGCAAAGGTTCAATGCCTAGTACAAAAGAAAAAAAAAAGCACACTCTGGTACACCTTCCCAATCACAAAGCACTGCAATCAGCTACCGACTGATACGAAGCAAAGGAAAAAAAACGTCTGAAAGCTGCTCCTCCTCTCCAGCCTGTACCACTGCTGGCCAGGAATAATGGTCACCGGTCCGGTTCTGTCGCGTTCCCTGGATGGCCAGTCACCCTATGACGCATAGCAGAGATTTGGCACCCTCCTTCTTGCTCGTTTTTACAAAAGAACAATTTATCAAACCCGCAGCTCAGCTCTCCTCATTACGTAAAACAGCAGACCCCACCTAAACGCCCGCGTCCGCCGCTCCCGCGCTGCTGCGGGGCCACGTGCTGCGTTCTGGGCGCTCCGCATGCGCTTGAGCGGCGCGGGTGCGCGCCAGCTCCACGCTTTACGGTAGGCGCGGCGCGCAGGGCAACCACGTGGCGGCGGAACCGAGGCCGGGCGGGAATGCGCGGAATGTGCGGCGCGGCCTCGCGCGGCTTCCAGCCACGGCCCCGGGTCCCACGGCGCGCTCCCGCCTCCTACCCCTCCCTGGGCCGCACCCCGCCGGCTCCCCCGAACTCGTCGGAACCAGTGGAGCCCCATGCCAATATCCTACGGGCCTTGGGCAGTAAGCATGATCCATCGGCCCCAGAACTTTGCAAGAGATCTGAATACGCGTCCAGCTGCCAGTTCCTATGGCGCGGGCCGAGGTGTCCCCGAGGAGGGTGTAGGACGTTGAGTGGGTGACCTTCTGCCCAAACCTGGAAAAAGTTTCCCTTCCTGTCCCCTCCTTGGCTAGGGTCCAGAGACCAAGAACTGACTAGCTCGGCATAGGAAAAGACCCTCTTCTCCCAATCTTCCCGACGGCTTGGGAAAGGACAGAGACGCTGTGGAGCTCCCAGGAAGCTAGATGGAGGGGAATGGGGATGCAGGGCGCTCTCACAGCCAGTCTTCCCCAGAAAAGGAGGGGTGACCAATCCTGGAGGCGCAGGCGCCCACGCGTGTCCGTCCCGCAGCTCCTGCGCCTTCGCTGGCGCGAGGGTCCGCTCTGCGTTAGTGGGGCGGTGATCCCATCCGGTTTCTTCTCTACCTCAGATGGTGGTAGTTTTGGCCTCCATCTGGGCGCCCACTCCGCACCACCTAGTCTGAGCCGGGCCGACGCCCGGAGCAAGGAGGTCGACTAATTCCTGAGATCTGGATTTTTATACAGCTCAGAGCACAGGCGATGCATTTTGAGGGGCAGGCTGAGGCAGTTTTAAAGTTGTGCTTTTCCCCCTCGGAATCTCAACTATTGATGGAGCCAGGGCTTCCCACCTGTTAGGTTTACTTTTAAACTCGCGTGCACTCCTGCCTGCAGCCGAGTTGGTAAAGATACCCCGACCCTCGACTGAGGAGCGAGGTAGTATTATGGTGACAAGACATCTGGGGCGAGGGCTGCGGCCACGCGTGACCGTGGCGTGTGGATTTCGGGGCTGCAATGCACCCCGCCCCCAGCTTTGGAGCACCTAAGATCCACGCCGCGTGGCCCGGGCGGAGCTGCGGCAGCACGTGGGCCGCCATGCGCGCCCCCAAAGCATGCGCTGTGGGGGAAGGGAAGCCCGAGCGCCCCCGAAACACTGGAGCCGCTTTCGGAAGCCTTTTCCAGGGCGATTTAAGGGCTTAACAATGGCAAACTCGCAAAGCCTGAGCCAAGCCCTTTCAAGTCACCGCCAGGTATGCGGCAGCAGGTGACCCCACCTGGGTGCGCCCGCCTGCCGCCTGAGTCCGCTCCGGAGGTGGGCTGCAGAAGGTCCACACCCGCTCCAGGTTGGCTCTGAGCCCGCGCTCTTCCCCAAAGCCCCCAGCGGGGGCGGCGCGCAGCCGCGCTGCGTCCTGGGGTCTGCGCCGCGGCGCGCGGGTTCTTGAATGAGCGCGCTCCCTTTGCCTGTTGAATGAAGGTTCCCACAGCCAGGGACGGTTGCAAACGCGCCTGCGGCGGAATTCGCCCTCTCTCGGCGACCGTCCGCCAGACCTCGGTCACCGGGGCGGGGGCCAAGGAAAGACAGTGGAAAGGTGGGTTGAAATTACTTGGGATTTTTCTTTCCAATCATTGCGACCCCTTTTCGACTGGACCCCTGGCTCTTTGTCTCCAAATGGTCACCGAGAAATAAGCTCAGAAAGAACTCTAAATGAGCCCAAAATGTGCAGTTCCTGCTTGATAGTGGGTTTTTAAAAGACAAGGAGAATGTTTTTTTAATGCAATACAAAAGTTTTTAAAACTTGCTTTTTCTCTTAAAAATATCAAAATCAAAGTGCGTCCTTTGGGTCTCTTGAACCAAAGGAACTTAAAGACCTGAATCTTCTGGCCCCCTCGGGGACTCCAGGGCTCGCCAAGCAGGCTTCCCCGGGGTGGGGGCTGGGCGCGAACGCTCCCCGCCGGGCCCCAAATTCCAGCGCCTCCCCCGCGGGTTCCTGGACAGCTCTTCACGCCAGCCGGCTGGGCTTGCACTTTTGCGCCCGCCCCTGGGCCGGGAAATCAACGAAGTTCCTCATCGAGATCTGCCGGGTCCGCCTAGTAACAGCGCCGCGCCCCCATTGGCTCATGCTAATTCCAGTTCCCTGTGTCTTTCCCGCGGTGGGGGACGCTCTCCTCGGGACCCGGAGCCCCTGTCGCCTGGGAGGTCGAACCCCTTTATGCCCCGCCGCCCCTCACCGGTGTGCATCGGCCTGGGCCTGTCGCACGCGGGCCTCGGACCCCTCGCCTCCGGGGACGGGCGCCGCCTGTGATAGCGCGGGGCCTCATAAATCATCCGGGCAACCGCCCGGTCGAGATTTTATGAATGAAAAAGTAGCCGGGCCGCCCTCGTGCGCGAGCTGATGCTCTGAGGCTTCCCGATGCCCACGGCCGGCATAAGCGTGGGCGCGACCTGCCTGGGCCACCATAGCCTCCCAGGTGTGAGTGGGGGTCATTGCTCTCCAAGGACCCGGAATATTAGTAACCCTACTCATTCTCCGCGGGGGAGGGGACGAAGAGGAAGACACTTCGAAGGGGTGGTCGCATCTTGCAATGTGCACCCTGGGGAGAGAGAGAGGGTTTTTGCATCCGTTTCCATTAAATCTTTATTTTGGGGGGCAACCGTGGGTTGACAACGTGAAAACACATCCACTGGGAAGTAAATGAACCTTTTTCTTAATTCGGGGCAGGTATTGTGAAAAATAAAATAAAACTGAGTAAAATGTCCTTTAATCAAAAAGCACCCAGGGAGCAAAATCTCTAATAAAAAATAATGTGTTTTATTTATGTGTCTTTAAATTTGCGAGAATAATGGGGACCCTCTCGCGTAATGACGAACGTCTACAGATGTTAAGAACATATCAATATACCCATTTGTTTAACTTCAAATTCTTTTCACTTTGCCAGTGCCTTCCATATTCAAGCTGCTGAAAGCAGCCCCGGGATAAATTCAAAAGGTGGGGGGCTTCCACGCCCCCCAAAAAACTAGTTGGGAATCCTCCGAGGGTCTCGTCCCGGGCAGAGGCAACTAATATTTCTAGCGATTTAACTTTTTAATTTAAAAAAAATGAGTCAATATAGAGATCACTATTTCTCAGCCTGCCACCCAAAATTGTGTTTCTCCAAATTGCCGGCACGGGGAGGGGGCTAATAGAGGACACCCTAACAATGGGCTGGTTAAGATAGAAAGACAGCCCGCAGATCCCTCGGGCGAGGGCAGGATGAAGGAAGTGGAAGCCACCATCTTGGGCTGCTGCTGGAATTTTCGGGCATTTATTTTATTTTATTTTATTTTTTGAGTGAATGCATGCTAGCTCAAATCACTTTAGTGCTTAAAGATATCCTCTCGGACATTTGCAACGACCCCCGTGCACCAGAGTGAATCCTGCGCCCGAGTTGTGTGCCCTGCCCCGTGTCCCTGCATATTAAATAGTTCCTGCAATTTCCACGTGTTAATGAAAATGAAAGAAAATGCAGACGCTGAGATTCCTTGGCCGTCTCGCTGCCCGTGGGTGCCCTCGTGTCGTTCTCGGAAATGCACCCATTCTCCCGGCTCGGATATAGGGTGTCGCTGGGCCCCTGTTCCCTATCTATGCTGTCTCCCAGGCTGTGTGTGGTCTCCCGCCCTCCTCGTAAGGCTCCTCTCCGGAGCCACCTCCACCCTATCCCAAGTCTTGGGGGACCCATCCAGGAAAGCCGGGGCCCCTGCACCCTCTCTTGTCTCGTGGGGAGAAAGGCAGTCGGGACGATTTGCATTTCTATAAAAACCGAACTTCGGGGACAGCTCCACCGCGGGGCAAGCGCAGCGCCTCGGGGATGGCTTTTGGGCTCAGCCCCTCGCTGCTCCCAGCGCTGCGCCCGCGTCCCCCTCCCCCTGCGCCCGCCCCGTCCCTCCCCCCCCCCTCATTCTCTGCCCCGCTTTGATCTCTGCTTAACAACAGTAACGTCACACGGGCTACAGGGGAGTTTTGTTGAAGTTGCAAAGTCCGGGAGCCTCCAGAGGGCTGTCGGCGCAGTAGCAGCAAGCAGCAGAGTCGGCGAGCTCCGGCGAGGGCCAGAAGAGCGCAAGGGAACGCGGACAGAGTCCGGACGCGTAGCCCTTTCCAGGCAGCCCAGGCAGAGCCCCAGCTATGGAACACCAGCTCCTGTGCTGCGAAGTGGAGACCATCCGCCGCGCGTACCCGGACACCAACCTCCTCAACGACCGGGTGCTGCGGGCCATGCTGAAGGCGGAGGAGACCTGCGCACCCTCCGTGTCCTACTTCAAGTGTGTGCAGAAGGAAATTCTGCCGTCCATGCGGAAGATCGTGGCCACCTGGATGCTAGAGGTGCGCGGCTTCGGGAGGCTTAGACTTTCTGCAACTTGTTGCCCAAATCCATATTTCTTTGCCCTCATTTCTCTCCCTTCTCGTCTCCCTCCCACTTTGAAGTTTGCCGAGGTGTTGCTAGGAATCAATCAGTATTTTCAAAATAAATAGCTATTCCGGCTATTTTTTTTTTTTTTTTGGACGAGGAAGGTGTGGGGGTTGGGACGTTAGAAATTCTCTTTCCTGGTAGGGGGCGGTCAGGAAGGGTTGCCTTCGAGGGAAGCTGGTGCCAGGAATACCCCAATGAGTACGAGGGTGCAGGCTGGCAGTCTGGGCGCCCTTTGTGGCCCCCGCCTGCGTCTCTGCGCCTCCTCTCTGGCTGCGGCTGACGGGAGCCGCCAGCTCTGGGGGGAGGGGGCACAGATTTGATTTTTAAATTAATATCCATGGACACGTATGCAAGGGCCGTTCGTGCCAGTATTATGCGCCATCTTTGCTTTTATTGCAAAGCAAAAGTGTTTATTAATAATTGGGGATAGGGTGGGGGTGGGGAGCGGCCGGCGGGACGCTGGGAGAGAAGCGAGGGGCCGCCGGGAGCTACCCGGAGGGACGCGGAGACGCGGCCTGAGCTAATTTGGGGGGACCCTCCGCTGGGGAAGGGGGGCCTTTTGTTTAAGCTCCGGGCCCCGGGGCGCCCCACACGGGCAGCCTGGCCCATAGAGCACGCCGGGCTGCAAGGTCGCGTGGCCCCCAAGACGCCAGGGTTGACCCCCGTCTGTGCGGGTCTCCGCTCAGGGTCCTTTCCTAGAGCAAGTCAGGGGCCCGGACCACATTTCCAGGCTTTTTGTGGGCGCCTCAGGGGCTCAAAAGTATTTTTAAATAATTTCTGAAAGTGCGGCGTGGTGCCCTTGCGAGAGGGAAACAGCGCCCGCGCCAAGGGGAAGGGGGGCCCCGGAGTTTGAGCTCCTGGGGTTCTTCCCGCAGCCCGCAACCAGCTGTCGACCCCCGACATGGATCAAGGGCCGCCCAAGGGTCATTTTCAGGCGTTTTTTAGACACCCAGTTATTTTTTAAATATTTTTAAATATTTTTTGAAAAGATGACGTCTGGGGAAATGCGGTGCGGCGGCCTGGGACGCCACCTTTGTGTCTCGAAGGGCGGCGAGCTCGGCGCCCAACCCCCGGCGGCCCCGCTGCGCGGTGGGTGTCCCCCCAACCGATGGCCCCCAGGTCCCGCGCTAGCCAGGGTCTTCACGCCGCCAGTGCCCCGCGTGCCCACCCTCGTCCATCGTGCCCGCCTTGCACAGACTTTCCCTTTCAGTTTCGGGGTGTGTGGGCTCAGGGGACTCGTGCGCATCCTGAGAAGTGCCGGTGCCCCCACCCCCACCTCTCGCCAACCCCTCCGCGCCCTCGAGGACTGGCCACCCTGTGCCTGGAGGGGTCCCGGCGGCGGCGGCGGTCACAGCCCGGTTTCCTGCAGGTTTGCGAAGAGCAGAAGTGCGAGGAGGAGGTCTTCCCGCTGGCCATGAACTACCTGGACCGCTTCCTGTCGTTGGAGCCCCTGAAGAAGAGCCGCCTGCAGCTGCTGGGGGCCACCTGCATGTTCGTGGCCTCCAAGATGAAGGAGACCATCCCCCTGACGGCCGAGAAGTTGTGCATCTACACTGACAACTCCATCCGGCCCGAAGAGCTGCTGGTAACCGCGGACCTCCGCGTGCAGACGCCCCGTTAGCAGTGAAACCTTGCTGGGGGGAGGTGTAGATGGCAGGAGGGACCGCCTGTCACGAACAGAGCTCCTGCCCCAGAGAGGGGTGCCCACACCGCTCGGTTCCAGCCCGGCTGCAGCAACAGCAGCACCCCAGGCGCCCCCCTCTTTCCCCTCCCCCGCACCCTGTCCTGGGATTCCACTCACCACTTTTTTTTTTTTTTTGCTCTCCAGTAGGGTCAAACGTGAGTGGCGCGCGCCCTCTTGCGGCGCGCAAGCCGCAATGCTGATCACGAAGGCACTCAGTACTGGCAGTGGGAGGTCTTTTTGTCTCCCAGTGCGGTCGGCTTAATAAGGAGAATGGAGCCTTTTTTACACTCACCTTTTCCATTTTGATCTGGGATCGCGTATTACCCCCACTGTTTGGAAGCCCCCAACATTCTCCACCCTCTCTCCTACCTCAAGACTAAAAACCAAGTGTGAAGGCCAGTGAGCTGGGCTTGCAGGAGAAGCCCCAGGGGCCAACCTGCCCCCTCTCTTGATGCCTCTTCCCCGTTTTCCACAGCAAATGGAGCTGCTCCTGGTAAACAAACTGAAATGGAATCTGGCTGCCATGACCCCCCATGATTTCATCGAACACTTCCTCTCCAAAATGCCGGAGGCTGAGGAGAACAAACAGATCATCCGAAAACACGCACAGACTTTTGTCGCCTTGTGTGCCACAGGTAGGGGGCCTGCTACCCAGACCTGTCCAGGAAGATGGTCCCGAGGCCTCCTCCTGCCCACAGAAGTGGCCCTCTCCCTACCACAGATATCCCACAGTGCCCACTGCTGGTGCCTCTGCTCCCCACACCTGACCCATGGCCAGTCCACGCTGTGAGAGGGTTTACCTTGCCTGGGGTCCCAACCACCTCTGGCCCTTCCCCTGTCTGTCCTCAAGGAGCCTGGGTTGCGGGAGGGGGGGCGCTCCTGGCCTCTCCTAAGCTGGGCCACCTGCCAGGGGCGCCTTCAGGGGCGAGGAGAGCAGCCAGCAGTGGCTGTACCACGTGTTCCGCGGCCAGCAGCAGCCCCAGTGCGGGGGCGGCCAGTGGAGGAGCTCTGCTTGCTGCCTGAGGCCCAGCCAGGGGCGCCACAGGCCAGCTCTGCTCAGCTGTGTCCTGGGAGGGACTCCAGAGCAGCCTGGGCTTGGGCCACCCAGCGGGCAGCAGAGGAACCCACCCTCTGTCCTCCATGGCACAGCTCCCAGAAGCCCCCTAGCACAACACTCACCCTAGACCCCAGTGGGCAGTCTGAGTCTGACCTAGGGACCAGTGTGGACAAACCCTTGTACACACTCCCACACACACATCCCACGTCACCTACTGCTCCCATGCAGCCTCTGTTGCTGTAACCTTGTGCTTCTCCACCCAACTGGGAGCTACGTCCAGGAAGCCTGGTTCCCCCAATGGGGGTGCTTCAAACCCACTCACCCCATCCCACTCTGCTCTGTTCTCTCAGTGGTCCCCCAGGCTTCAGCTGTTACATCTGCATGTGGACTCACTTTGGGTGGCCTGAGAGCCACAAGCCAACCTGGCATTAAAGAGGCCGTGTATCTTCTCCTACCTGCCCAGGGGCAGAGCCCCCCAGTCCTGGCTCCTCCATTGTGTCCCTTGCTGTGAATGTAGCGCCACTACACAACGAACTCTCCTGGGGTGAGGATGCCCAGAATGCAGCACCCTCTTGTACCTGCGGTACCCCTCCCCCAGGCCTCCCTGTGGCAGGAAGGTTGTCTGCATGGAGTTGAGGGTGGGGGCAGCGCTCAGGCAGCAGGGAGGAGTTCTCTGGCTGGGGCTCCTTCAGAGAGAGGCTCCACACAGCCTTTTATGGAGCTGAAAGTGGTTTGAGAGAAACAGTGGGGTTTCTTGAAGATAACTAGAAGAACCCTGGTTGCACAGCCTCTCTTGGGGACAACTGGAGCAGCCAGAACTCCCGTCTGGGACCCCAGGGCGCCTGCCGGCAGGGAGCCATAAGTGCTAAGCTGCTGCGGGCTCTAAGGTGGGGCTGGGGATGCCCTAATCAGAAGGTGAAGGCGGATGGACTGCCCAATGATTGGGGTTTCCCAGGCTTCTGGGGGCCGTGACATCACTTCAGGAGGGGTCAGCGGGAATCAGTGGCACCTAAGCAAGGGTGCCTATAAGGCCAGAGCTTCCAGGCCTGATGCCTACCTGCCCCAGTGGGCTCAACTGAGGTGTAGCCTGTGTCAGGCACAGAGACAGAAGAGAATCAAGGGCTATAGCCCAGTGCCTGAATTGGGTTGGAGGCGGGGAGGCATAAGCACAAGTCCAGGAAGCTGTGTTTGCCCTGTTCCCCCTACTCGGGGACCCCCAGACCCAGGTTCCTTAGCATGGATGCATAGGGCTGTGGGGTGTGTGTGGTAGTCAGTACTGAACCCCAGGACCTTCACACAGAGCTGCATCCCCAGCTTTTGTATTTTGTATCTTGAGACGGCTACCTCGGCTGGGGTTGAACTTGGCATCCTCCTGCCTCAGCCTCCCTGAGGCAGATGGGCCCCTGATTACAGAAAGGTGGGCTTTTTAACACAGTTGCCCCAGAGTCCACATCTTTAGCAAGGACATCACCAGGGTGGTTTATCACTTACAGAAGTGACTTCTGTGTGTGGCTAGACTTGCCTCAATGCAAAGGTCTCCATTCAGGGCTCCTGCCTCAGATTGGGTAGAATCAAAGTGGTGGCCTCCCTCTATTGCTGGGTTCTTTTTTAAGTTCCTGCAGTGGCGCCCAGAAGCCGCCTTTTGTCTCCCTTCAGGGTGGCTGCTTTTCTTCCCAGCCCCTCACCGGCACCCCCTCCCTTAATGAGACCAAAGTTGTTTATTCTCTTGGGATGAAGCCTTGCAGGAGTGTGACACCCCCAGTAGCTCTCAGGGCCCCTCTCCCTTTGTAACCATTCAGCTCACCGAGCCCCCTTGTTCCCGGGCACTCCGTGTCGAAAGATGAGGCGATGGAGACTGACAAGGTGCCACGCTGCCCTTCCCACATCGGCCTCTGGCCTGGGGCCCACAGCCATAGGTTGATTTGGTGGCTGTCCCTGCCCCTGAGTCCCCATTGGGCACGATAGGAAGGCAAGCAGTGAGCTCTGCTGGAGTAGTGGCCAGATGGAGGAGCCAGGAAGATGGGGGGCTCCCAACAAGTGGGCCCCCCCCCAGTCAGGAATTGGCCTGTGGCTTGAGGAGGAGAATGCTGATGACCCTGGAGTGACACCCCCTGCCATGTGTTGGGGGACAATGTGTCCTCCCAGCTGACAGTGCAGGCTACAGGCTGGGGGCTGTTCTTGGTTGGCACTGTCCTTGGTCTGTTTATTTGGAGGAGCCCGAGAATACCAAAGGGTCCTCCCAAGAACCTCAACTGTAGAAGGGGAGTAGCCTTCTTGGTTTGGGGCCCTACTTGGGCTAGGATTTGGGGGGCCCTGGGGGAAGTGGCACTAGGTAAGGAGAGCTGTTGTGCAGGGGACTGACCCTGCTCCCTCCCCCCACCCTTGGCTGGCTACACTGGCTCTGGGTGTCATGGATGATCATGGTGGGAACCACGCACCTCTTTAAATTTGCCAATCAGTGACTTAGAGAAACTCATCTGGCCAGGACAAAGGACAAGGAAAAGAATTGTCTGACCAGAGAAACAGCAGGGCACAGGGCTGGCATGGAGTTGGGCTTTGCTGAACGTCACCCTGAAAAGTCACATCAGGGAGAAAGGCAGGTAACTGCCAAGGGACTTGGGCAGTGACCACCTCCCTGTGGTCTTGTGAATTCTGGAAGTGTGGCTCGTTGCCTCTGTTCCCTTCCACCAGGCAGTGGCAGGTACCTAGCATCACTGTTGCAGAGACACATACAAGATTCCTGTCTTTGCGTCCTTCATTTATGACTAAGTGACACTGATGAGACTCGGCCTGCTGCAAGGGCAGGATGGTGGTGGTAGCCAGTCCCTTCAGTGTGGCCACCTTCACTGTGCACCTGGTTGATCTTGATCAGCCGGCGTTCACGGGTGGCAGTTCCCCAGGTGCCCCTGAATCACAGGACCCTGCTCACGTCCCCTCTTTGTCTCTGCTGCAGATGTGAAGTTCATTTCCAACCCACCCTCCATGGTGGCGGCTGGAAGTGTGGTGGCCGCAGTACAAGGCCTGCACCTGGGGAGCCCCAACAACTTCCTGACCTGCTACCGCCTGACACACTTCCTCTCCAGAGTGATCAAGTGTGACCCGGTAAGTGGTGGCCACAGGGGACATCTGGCACCTGGGTCCTCATGGGTGACAGGCTAAGTAGGCTCTAAGAGGCTGGGCAGGGTCCTGCACCCACCTCCTATGGTCCCCTGCTATGGGTCCCAGTAGATTCTCTTGTCTCTGGGGCACCCATGAACAGGTAAGAGCCACAACCCTCCCGACAGAAAGGGGCCCAAGCCTGCCACAGTGAGGCTCCACTGACCACAGGGTTCGCAGGCAGTGAATACCAGCTTTAAAGAGCTCCTGGGAGGTCTGAGACCCTGGTCACCGAGACCAATGGAAACAAACTTGTTTTTTATGGGCTAAGGGGGTGGGGTTCTGGGAAACACGACTTGAGTTGACCGTGACTTCATTCTTAATAGTGCCACTGTTTTATACCCACTTCTTTTCTTTTTTGTGAAGAGAGAACTTAAATGACAATTACAAGGGTTTATGGCCTTTACCAAATTAGACAGAGGTTGGCAGGTCAGCTGTTACCTGCTGTGTGTGTGGGAATGACTGATTGCCTTGACACCCCTTCCCAGGGCAGGTGGGCCCGCCCCAGAGCTTCTGAAGAGTTCTGCCCTGATGCCCATCTTCACCTGCCTGTCCCCTGCCTAGGGAGTTCTGTGTTGGCTCACAAGAGCCCTGGCCAGGCTCACCCTGGGTGGGGGAGGGGTGTCCTCCCCGGGCTGTTGGGGCAGCAGTCTCTCAGAGGGAGACGCTCTGGGGCCTCAAAGTCCAGCACTTCCTTAGCCGCCAAAGACATGGCCTAGAAAAAAAAGCCCCTCCAGCAGAGTGGCTGGCATTGGGCTCAGTGGGAGCAAGCGGCAGACCGCTGCAAAAGAAAGATGCTTTGTATCTGCACTTTTTAAAGTCCCCAGCCCCACATCCTGCACTGTTTGACCTGGTCAGCCGTGTTGATGGATTTCTGGGGGCAGTGCCACACCATGACTGTCTGCAGGCAACTGCCAAGCAGTGGCCATCTTGTCCCTTCCTTAATCAGAGACTGTTCTAATTAGATGTTAGGAAAATGCCTCCCAGCTGACAGGGAATCGAGACCAGAATGACTTTGGCTTTCCAGTGGTAAAGGTAGCTGAGCTCAGACTCAGAAAGACCCTTGACAGCAAAGTCCTCCTATTCTTTTCTGAGATGAGCAGGGCCTCAGATGTCACCTTCACTCTTCCGTTGCCTCCAGGCCACATGGGCGAAGTTCATGGCCAGACTACAGCCCATCTTCTTAGATGGAGTTTCCTCAGGGGGATGCCTTTGCCAAGGACTCTGATATGGACGAGGGTGTGTTCTAGAAATTTCTGAGGTGTGCCTCAGGCGTGCTGTGTGGCCGTGTATCAGTAATTATGTGTCCCTTTTCACCAAAAAGCATAGTTGATTCTTCTGGGGCCTTCTGGCCAGGGGTAAAGGGCACCATCTACTGGGAAGGCCTTCAGGCTAGAGCAGGGACAAGGTAGAAAGGGGCCAAAAGCCTGAATTCAACTCATGCTCCAACCTCAGCCATGGGACTTGAGTGGGTCATGGGCCCGAGCTGCTGGTCAGTGTGAAGCTTCTGAGACAAGGGAACAGATGGCCAGGGAGCTGGACCATGAGCTGGGTGGGGAGCTGCTCGGGGTGATGACAGCCCAGAAGACCCCATTCCTGCACTGCTTGGCTTCCTTCCAGCATGCAGCCCCCTCAAGAACTGACAAGTACCTGAGGGGCTTGTGGGTGGGAGCTTCTGGCCTCAAAGACATCTGAGGAGATCTGGAGTTGAGTTGTGTGTTCACACCAGGCCTCTGGGCCCTTGGCTTCCTCATCTACAAAATGGTACCTTTTGTACCAGCCCTAATACCTTCGTTCATCTTGGATCTCAACCCGAAAGGGCAGGAGACACACTTCATAAATGTGGGTCCCTGGGAAGCCCTGCTGCCCTGGGAACGTTGGCCATGCCCTCCTATAACCCCTTGTGGGGTGATGGCTAAGCCCCTTGGAGGGCAGACTGGAGACAGTGTCAGTGTGAGAAGCCCTCCCTCTGGCGAAGTCCCAGCATTGGCACCAGGAAGCAGCTGCTTTACCCAGGCCTCCCAGAGGCAAGAACAGCATGAGCTGCTGGGACACTGACCCTGGCGTGGGGCAGTCCCGGCTTCCCCTTGGCTGTGTAGATGGTCACCCCCGAGGGGAGTCCAGCCCAGCATGGATGGAGTCCCGGGTTCCCCTTGGCAGTGTAGATGGTCACCCCCGAGGGGAGTCCAGCCCAGCATGGATGGAGTCCCGGGTTCCCCTTGGCAGTGCAGATGGTCACCCCCGAGGGGAGTCCAGCCCAGCATGGATGGAGGCGCAGGGCTGCAGCACAAATGGGTGCGAGCACCCTGTGGGCCCCTGGCGTCCATCCTCAATTGATCAGAGTGTGGGCTTCACCTTCAGGGCTGCCACTGGGCAGACGTAACATCCAAAAGGGTAGGGCCCTGGGGGCCTCCCCACCTGGATTGGAGGAATGGAGTCCAGGAAGCTGGAGATTAGGGCCCATGAAGGAATTCCAAGAAGCCAGGCTCTGCTCTGGGCGAGCAGCAAGCATCTGGGGTCTGTATAGGGGCAGTGCAAGGGGCAGCAGTATCTGGTTCTGAGTCGGCTCACCAGGCCAGAAGAAAGCTGGGGGCCAAAGTAGCACATAATTCTCCTTCCCAGGCCTGTGGTGGCCATTGTGAGGGGTACTCTGAGCCAAGATCTTTCAAATCCAGCATTAAAACAGGGCACTGGCTTTGCACCTGTTTCTGAAGACCCCCACAACACCCCCTTTCCAGGACTGCCTGCGTGCCTGCCAGGAGCAGATCGAGGCTCTGCTGGAGTCCAGCCTTCGTCAGGCCCAGCAGAACTTGGACCCCAAGGCCGCAGAGGAGGAAGAAGAAGAGGAGGAAGAAGCAGACCTGGCCTGCACGCCCACTGACGTGCGGGACGTGGACATCTGAGGTGCCGCTGCCACCAGGGCACGGAGCAGTGGTTGGCAGCGCCCGCAAGGGAAGAGCCAGTCCTAACTGCTCCTCTAACCAGGTCCCTCTTCTTCGGGACATTTTGTTACCAGAAGGGAAAGTTTCATTCTCCTTGTTGGTTTTTGTTCCTTTGCTGTTTCTCCCTCCCATCTCTGACTTAAGCAAACGGAAAAAAATTATCTGAAAACCTTTAAAAAAAAAAAAAAGAGCAAAAGAGAGAGGATAGAATTTGCATAACCTGAGTGGGGGAGGTGAGTTGTACTACAAAATAGAGGCTTTTATACCGGCATAATCAACTAGTTTATGTATTAATGTGCTTGTGTCTCTGGTAAGAATAGACATTAACACACAAGAAGTCTCCAGGGGGGACTAGATTTGATTCTTCATGTTCTGTTTTGGTTTTTTTTCTTATTTTTTTTTTTCTTTTCCTTTTTTTTCTTTAAGACATAAAAGCATTTTAAAAGAGAAAAATCCCAACAGACCATTTTTTAAAGTAGAAGAGGATTTTAGCTAGAAATATGTATTCTTGTGCTCTCCTGGGTGCGCCTGTGCCCCGCTTGTTCAGCCATGTAGTCACTTGATAAGCCACATGTATGTTCATTTATCTCGTAACTAGGTAGATATGTAACCTCTTCACCTTATGGATGGTTGATGCAATCTCTCAAGTCATAGACTGTGGCAGCCCCAGTGTGCTCAGCCTGCGCCGGAGGATCCGCATCCAGGGCCAGGCCTGCGGCTACCAGCCAGTCTCAAGGGAGTGGGAAAGGCCAGCTGTCCCCCTCCTGTGACCCATTACCATAGAGAGAAAACGAAATAGCAACATAATATATTCTATTTTTATAATCTTCCTATTTTTGTAGTTAACTGTTTATGAGATGCTGGTTTTTTTGGGTTTTTTGATTTTTTTGTTTTTGTTTTTTTTGTTGTTGTTGTTGTTTTTGGTTTTGGTTTTGGTTTTTACCCAATGGCCCTGCAGCCTGCTCACAGCCAGGTCAAATTCACAGCAACTTTCTCTCTCTTTTTTTTTTTTAATTGTTGTTTTGATTTTCCTTCTCGGTATTCTGAAACCATTCCATTTCAAAGCACTTTGGGTCCAGTAGTTAGAGGCAATATTGTTGTTGATGTTGTACATGCAGGGGGGCGGGGGCGGGGCAAATTTTAATGGAATGGTTTAGGAATATTCACGTACTTGTACGCAAACAGGATTGCTAAGCAAGTGCATGTCACTGCGGGGTTAGCGAGAGGGGGATGTTTTTTGAAGGTTTTGTTCCAGTCAAGAAGAAACAGATCTGCATTCTCAGCATTGCCAGGATGATAGAGAAGTTCCTGTCCTGTAGAGAAATTAAAGTTCTTAGGAATCCTTTGGTGCCAGCTGGTGTTTGAAATTAAGGACCTCAAAGGTTTGCCTAGAGAGCAAGTAGTTTAAGGGTTACTTTTAGGTGTTTCATGATGGAAGGTTTTTAAACACTAAAATATATAATTTATAGTTAAGGCTAAAAAGAGTATTTATTGCAGAGGGTGCTCACAAGGCCAGTATGAGCTATAAAGTAATGCAATCTCCCCTTGGTTTAAACACACAAACCTTTCTGCCTTTGGTGTCACAGGCTTAATACAGTTTACGGAAGATTGGTCCCTTTGTAGACAAGGGGGAAAATCTCAAGCAAAACCACACAAGACACGGATTCAGCCTGTTTGGCATCTTCCAAAGTGGTCTGATCTGCGAATCATCCAGGAAAGTTAGGGTACTTGGATGAGTTCGATTCCAACGCACTCTTATCCCCTGCCCCCTCCTTGAAAAAAGAAGAGTTAGTGACAGGTAGACAATTTGCACATCTTGGCTCTGTAGCTTTTTATTTAGGAAGTGTTGAAGGGAGGTGGCGAGAGCGTGAGGCTGAGGCTGGAGAGAGGACGGGAGGAAGGAAGTGTGGACGGGAAGAGGGGACGGGGCAGTGACCGCGTGAGGGACAGGCTGCGGCTCCGTTTCTTAATGCGCTGCTACCCATGACTTCCCGGCACGGTTCGGAAACAAACTCACATCGCTTCTCTGTATCTCTTTCACATTGTTTTGCTGCTATCGGAGGATCAGATTTTTGTTTTGTTTTGTTTTGTTTTGTTTTGTTTTGTTTTACAATGTCATATACTGCCATGTTCCAGTTTGAATCGCCTCATAGAAAATTGTATTACAGATTCCCTTGTTTTGTAGTTGGTTTTTTTCTTTTCTTTTTTTTATGTGATCAATTTTGACTTAATGTGATTACTGCTCTATTCCAAAAAAGGTCCCTGTTCACAATACCTCATGCTTCACTTAGCCATGTGCAGACCCAACAGTTGGGCTCTGTCTGCCTCAGCAGACAGACACACAGACAGGATCCCAAGACGGGGCCTGGTAGGGGCCAGTGATGGCCTGCTCCGTGAGCCCCCCGCTGGGCCTCTGGAGACCAGACTTGGGTCTGAGATCTTTCCCCTGCGCCCGTTGTATGGGGCTGTTCACCTGATCCAGGATGTACCATCGTAGTAGTTTTGACCGCTGTATCATTCTGTATGTGTAGTTATGAACATTACATTATTATTATTATTATTATTATAACCAGTCTGTCTTACGTGCCACTGTGGTGCTGGGCCCGTAGGACTCTTGTCATTCGGGATGATTGAAATTGCTTTCTGGAATTTGTTCAAGTTTTGGGTGTGTTAATCTGTTATTGTACTAGTGTTCTGTCTGTTGTTTTGTTAATTACAGCATAATGCTAATTTAAAAGAGACTCCAAATCTCAATGGAGCCAGCTCACAATGCTGTGTGCCTGAGTCCCCTAGCAAGCTGCCGAACCAAAAGGATTTGTGCCCCCGAGGGGTGGTCTGTGCTTGGAGGCCATCGGCAGGCGCAGGGCCAGCCCTCCACCCCTCCGGATCACTGCTTTTGCTTACCTCAACCATTCTGGCTGCGGCGTCTCTGTGTCTGAACTGAGCGGGGTCCTTGGGGGACGGTGTGTCCGCGGTGGTGGGTGAGGGCAGACATCTCCAATACTGTGTGCCAAAAGGCCAAAGGCTGGTGGCAGGTCCACGGAGCACAGCAGAGTCTGTCCTGCGATGTAAAAGTCTGCGAGCGTCTCTGGTCAGTGGGCAGTTTGGGTCCGTGCTTTAGTTGACACCGCAGCGCCTCCCAGCATGGACATGTAACCGGCACGTTTCCAGCAGAAAACAAAAGACAAACGTGAAAAGTCTAGAAATAAAATCGGTAAAATCCCAGTGTGGTCCTTGCCTGTGTGTTTTCTGGGCTGGCAGGAGGTCAGAAAGAGGTCTGGACCTGGCCAGGGTTTGGCGGGGGCAGGCTGGGTTCACCAGGTACACAGGGGTGCCCTATGGGGCTAGGTCATCCTGACAGCCACTAGATGACAGCAGCCCCTCCCCTGGGTGACAGCCTAGAATGTCTCCCGACACTGCCAAATGATCCGGGGTGGAGGGTTCATGGAGAATTGGCAGGTGGCACCTCTGATGCGTAAACAGCTTCTGGCGTCAGGGACCGAAGCGGTGCCCCTTGATCAAAAGCATCTCCCAACCCTCGTGTGGCCTATTTGCCCTCCCTGTTATTTGTAGATAGAAAAATAAATAAAAGCCAGCATTTGTTCCCCCTCTTCTGGCGCACATGCTGTTTGCTCTGGGTGAATCACAGGCCTTACGCACAGCCAAGATCCAGGAGCAAAGCACAGTGCTGGGGCTGTGGTCCAGGGTGGCCTTTCATATAGCTCCCCAGGCGCATGGGGGACCTTCTTGAACTCTGTCACCCGCCTCTAGGGCTTCACTTGCCAGGCTTCCAAATCCTGGGCAAAGAGTGGGATGGGACCTGCTGCAGTTTTGTGTTCTGGGATTCAGTCTGCAGCATGGCCCAATTGTCTTCACCAGTTCTCAAGCCAAGAACAGTTTTGTCACTTGTCAGCCACCAAGGCCTCTATGCAGCACCTATTGTGTGCCCATACACTTGTGCAGAGTGATCTTGAGGGCTTAGGCTTGACCAAACTGAATCTGCATGGCGACCTACATTCTGGGAGAAAGGGAAAAGGGGACACCAGGAGCCTCCCCCAAGATGGTCTTATGCTGGGCAGGTCCGGCAGCCTGCAGGGTGCCCCAAAAGTGGCTGACAGGTGGTCTCACAGCAAGAACCCCAGGGCTCACTGAGTCTAAGGAAGCTCATGGCCACTCAAGTGGTTCCCAAGGGCCAGCTCCACGCAAGAACCAGGTGTGTGTCAGACTGGGAACCCTGAGAATCGACATCCCCAACCTCAGCCCACAGGATGACTGCAAGAGGGAGCATAGGGCCACTGTGTTTCAGGCCAAGTGGGGTGGCAGTGGGATGGCAGGATGACAAAGGGATGGAGACCCACAGCAGGATCATGTTGGGCGGAGCAATGTCCTGATCAGGAGACTGAGGACAAGGTGCCAGGGCAGGGAACCTTGGGGTACAGGCACAGAAAGGGAGGTAGGCAGAAGCCTAGAGGGATGGCATGAGCTTCACCTCCAGACCCACAGTGAGGTTCAGAGTGCACCTGGCTGAGCCCCATTGATAATCAACCCCCAATACTCTCCTTGGCTGGGCAGCAGGACGTGGGACATCCCCCGTCAAACTCAGCAGACAGGAACCTTGACCCCTCTTCGATGTCGTGATGGCTGGTCCCTTTGGGGGTTGTCTGGCTGCTCTTGGTGACAGGGTGACAATAAAAACAGGAGCTTCAGGGACCAAACCTCTGAGTGGTCCACACCCTGCTGCTCCTTTCCAGAAGCTCATTGCCTGTGCTCTCGTGGCCCCTGGCCCACCCACTCGGGGGGGGGGGTGCCCTGCCTGCATCCTGATCAGCATCCAACCATCCATCCATGCCCACCGGGCCTGCTTCTTCAGCTCATCCCCGTCTGTGGGGACTGGCCCATCCCTTTGGTCTCCTCTCTGAACCTGGGTTCTGCCCTTGGCTGGTGACTCACCAGACTGCACCAGGCTCTGTCCCTTCACCACCACCATCACCACACCCCAGCTATCCCATCTGCTTACCCCTCATGGCCTGAAAGAAAACTAGTCTCCATAATGCCTTTGCAGCCCTGTGCCTCCACAGGTGGCCTGTGTCTTCCTGCTCTGATCAGCACCCTCTTGAGGGAAGACAGAAATCCTGGGGACCCCTCAGACCTCTTCTGCACCCTGCAGATGAGTGGAAGGCAGTGTTGTCCCCAAGCCAGCAGACTCCACAGTAGAAGGATGGCGGAAACACAGGGGCCACCCCCAACTGTCAGGATAAAGGCTTGGGGTGAGAGGCTAGGCAGGGTGGACATGTGCACTCATTTCTGGAGGGAGAATGGGTGGACAGGCTGTGACAAGATGGGCAGGGGTCATGGGCTTCTAGAGGAAGGGTTCTCTGACCTGCTGTGGACCGGCCGCCTGCTCTGTGGACCTCCTTGCAGCAGCAGGACCAGAGCCCAGGTCCCACAGCTTCTGGGCCCAGGACGTGAGTGTTCAGCCTTCCGCCACTGCATTGCCACTGCGCCTCGAGAGAGGTTGATGCCAGGAACTGGGCATGTGGCGGGGCCCATGGGAGGGCAGTGATGGCGATGGCAGCGTGGGGTGGAGTGTGTGTCCTTCCCTCATGGGGGACCACATGCTGGACAGGCCCCTCGCCTGCCTCTTGCAGGGCTCTGTCATCCCAGGAATGCCTTTGATCAAGAGTTTATGCAGAGAGGGAAAGAAAGCCCAGGACCTCTAATCCGTTCCCACAGTCCCCCTGCCCGCTGGGGCCCCAGCAACCCAGCGCCACACCGCAGGCCTGGGGCAGACAATAGCCCATGGACGGGTGGGCGGGCAGGTCCAGGGCTGCCGGCCTTGGGCCCCACATCCGGGGGCATTGTCACCACGACTCCCAGGGCACATGGGGAGGATGGGGAAGGCTGTGCAGAAGGGGCCACTGTGAGCTCCAGCCTATCAAAGGCTGCGACCTCCATTAATCCTTTGGGTTTGCACCTAGCAGCAGAGGAAGGAGGGGTGCAGATCGCTCCTGTTCCAGGCCCAGGCCCTCCAGGCTGATTGTCTGGGCATCTCCTCCCCTTGTGATTCCAGAGGCCGGGGCAGCTGAAGGTCACAGTGTATGCTGTGTGCCACTATAGAACTGAACACTAAGCAGTTGCTTCCCAGGTCCCAAAACAACCCTCTGGGCTGGGGAAAGGGAGGAGACACACACACTGGTGAGGGCTGCAGATCTGGCCCTGTCCTCAGGTATGGAACAAGCGCGAGGATCCCAAGGTTATCAGACTGTTTGCTAGCACCAGACAGGAATGTGGGAGGATTTGCAGCCGCCGCACTGGTCATCTCTGCCGTAACAGCCAGGCAGCTTGGGAAATGCGGGCGTGCCCTGCGTGCTGGGGAAACTTGCTATACAAAAATAGGCAACAGGCTGAGTTTGAGATTAGAGGGGCATTTGCTGCTCCTTGTGGTAGGTAAGGAAACTGAGGCCCAGGAAGGTGTAGTGACAGTGCTGGGATCACACATGCCAGGCCTAGGGTTCAGGGCCAACACTCCTGTTCCTAGGAAACTCAGGACGCACATGCCCTCCATGTGATGGTTCCCCCCGAAAGGCTGGTGCATATATAGACCTAGTTTTTCCAGGTGACCCTGTGTCCTAGGCTTCAAGCTCCAAGCCCTATGGTCAGTGTTGTCTTGATCCCCTGGCTTGGAGTAGGACAGCCACCCAGTGGATGTCTGAAGGTGACCAGCTGTTAAAAAGGAAGGTCACATACCAATATACACACACTAACCATCATTTCCCAGTGGAGGACATGAAGTTTGGACCTCAGCTTTGTGACATCTGGGCTGTGCAGCTTGGCCTCTTGAGCCTCAGTTTCCCTCTCTATACAGTGAGAATAACCTGCAGGAACATGAGCTCATGAGAGATCCTCTCGATGCTCAGTTGGTCAGCTGGCTCCCCATCACTATGACAGATACCGCCTCATAGTTTTGGAGTTTCCGGGCCTTGGTCACATGGTCCTGCTGCTCCCAGCCTGTAGTAAGGCACCAACCACATTTTACGTGGGAGGCAAAAGAAAGTCAGGAGTCCAGAGTCCTCCTTTGGCTCCTCAGGTGGAAAGACCTTGGTCTTCTCACACCCCAATTCCCCCTCCTGATAAGAACCGCACCCAGATCATGCTCTGGGGACCCACCCATTGCCAGCTCTGTGGCTCATTTGGAACCAACCCCATCCTCAGCTCTGGGTCAAGCCTTGATAGGCTCAAACTCAACAGCCTGTTTACACCCAGAGAAGAACACAAAAGCAGAGCTGTGCATTCAAGGGTGTAGTGACATTAAAGCCAACAGCACTAAGGGACATGGGGAGAAACTTGCAAAGAGTATCCCTCATCCTCTGGACTCTGGCAGACATGTCTGCCACCTAGAAGGCAGCCTGGCATGGAGTCTGCCCTATAAGAGCAGAGAGGGGGAACAGGGCTCCAGACAAGCTGCTGGACTGAGCGGCTCCTGAAGTTATACTCCTTTTGCCACAGGAGCTCCTCATTTTTTTAAGTGAGGTCAGTTTGCTTGGGCTCTGGGCCACTTGGTTTTCAGAGACCCTTATTAACTCTTACAGCTTACATGTGCTTTCTGCCTTGCTGAGATGTAACACGTATGAGCAGTGGGAGCCACTGGCCAAGTTCTGTATTGTTGGCTGGGAGCCCCTTGGGGTCAGGGAATGACATCCTGACCAGCTGGCTGGCCCAGAGCAAGCTCAGGAGACATGTGGGGAACCACCTTACCTGATAGTCCTGGGCCAGCTCACTCTTCTGGGTGCACTGTGTGTCCTGGAGCTCACTTGGGACGAACAGATTTGAAAGTGTCCTAGGGATCCATCTCCTCCCACCTAGGACAGCTCGATGGCCTTAACTGGCTGAGAGCAAGGTGAGCTGGAGCCCTTGGGCATCATGCCTGTGTCCCATGGTGGGAAGAGAGGAGTTCCTGGGGCGGGTGACAGCGGGCCCTCAGAGGTGGCAGAGACTAGGAGCTGAATACAGTCCCTGAGGAGGCCCCGCAATGCCAGGCAGGGAGTGGTCAGGACTGTGTGTGTCCAGCTCCCTCACCCAGCAGGAGAGGCCACTTGTGTCAGATCCCGGGGGCGGCCATAACATATGACAAACGATGTGGCTGGAAACAATAAGAATTTATTCTTTTACAGTTCTGGAGTCTGGAGGGATGGCTTTTGTCTCTCCCAGCTTCTTGGTAGCTCCCTTCCGCCTCAGTGCAGCTAGCTGTAGGGTCTCTGCCTCCATCTTCACAGGACCATCTGTTTCTTGTGTCTCCTCCTCCTTAAAAGGACCCAGGCACACAGGACTGAGGTTCTGTCCTCCCCTACTACCTCTTCTTAACTCACAGCTTCACAGAATCTGCAAAGATTCCATTTCCAAATAGGGTCGCCTTTACAAGCACAGGGCTCAGACTTCAGTGCATTTGTCTCTGGGGGATAAGATTCAATAAGTAACAGATATGCCCGAGCTCTGGATGCCAGTTGGCAGGCTCATGAGCCCCTGCTGGCTCAGGGACAGACTCCCACAGGAAACAACTACATTCCATACATCCCTGCTCAGAGCGAGTCAGCTCCTCACCAGGTCTTTAGTTGACCAAGCACATGCAGGACGCTTTGGTTCCCTGGTGCAATCTTTCCAGTGGGCGAAAAGGACAGAGGATAGAGACCCTGGCCCCTGTGACCCTATGGCCAGCTGGCCCAGTGATAGCACAAGGGACAGCCAGGACAATGTCCTGATGGGGCCAGGACAGGAAGCAAGGGCTGGGATGGCTGTGGGAGTCACTAGCCCTGTGGAAAGTCATAGGGAAGGAATGAAACCCAAAATGTGTAATAGTCATTGTACAAAAGAGAGGAAAAGAAAGTGCTCTAAACTATATAACTGCATGTATATTTAAGTGTATAAGATAGAAGATGATATCACAGAGTTTTATTGGATCATTGAACAGAACTGTTTGCAGTATCATTGTTGGAATGTCCACTCTACAAGCTTTAATTTTGTGACTTGAACAATTATTTTTAAGATGGCAATATGTAATCCATTAACTAGTGATTTCCTACTGTTCATTTTTTTCTTCTGTAAATCTGTATAACTTGTACCCTTTCACTTTTTTTTTCTTTTCTCCTTAAATTAAAAAAAAAAAAAAAAAAAGAAAGTCATAGGGAAGTCTACAGGAAAGAGTGACTTTCCCAGATGAGCCAGGAGTCACCGAGCCTCTGGGGGCAGGCTCCCCATCACTACAACTCCCGTGTCTGGTGACATATAGCACCTCTTTCGTCTCATAAACCACCAAGGCTCAGTGACCTCAGTTTCCTGAGTTCCAAACCAGGCCTGCTCTTCACTTCGCCTGTGAAGGTCAGAATGGACTGTGGGCATTGGGGTGAACTCACGTGTTTGTTACAGTTTTTGTCTTCTTCAGGTCACACAGGTGTTTCCGGGTAAGGAGAGAATTCTCCAAGGCTTAGTGTGACAGTCATCCACCTCCACACATTTCTTCAATCCCTGGACTGAGCTGACCACCCACCTCACCCCTGGGCTCCAGAGTGCCACACATCCCTGCGAAAGACCTGCTCACGGGGTCTGGGCAGCTACGGGCCCATTTAGTTGCTGCTTGGCCAGATCTTTTCCATAAATGCATCTGTTTTTGCTCTCAGTGCAGGATGAGAATTAGCATGAAAAACAGGCATCACCAGCCGGGCGTGGTGGTACACTCCCATAATCCCAGCACTTGGGAGGCTGAGGCAGGAGAGCTGTTTGCAAGTTCAAGACCAGCCTGGGCTACAAAGTGAGCTCAAAGCCAGCCGGAACTACATGGCGAGACCCTGTCTCAAAGAGACCAAAAAAAAAAAGAGGCACCACCCTTGCAGAGAAGACATACCTAGTTTAAGCAAACTGCCCAAGTCCCAACATACCTCCCAACATACTGCTCCAGCCGGAGCTTAGCCACTTGCTTCGACCTCTGGGCTTATGTCCCCCACCACCACCTGTGAAGAAAGTGGCCCTACTCCATGGCATCAGTGGATGGTCCAGCGATGGGAGGAAGCCTAAGCCATCAGTAGCCACATCTGACCACTGGGTGAAAGAAAAGTGTTAAGGTGTGAATGTGAAATAAAGAAAAAGTGCAATGTAATGTGGCCTTGATTTAGGATGGCAATTTGGTCATTAATACTAGATGGTGACTGGAGAGTAGTTCTGAGGGGAAGCTTTCGTGCAGGTTTGATCCATCATGCTTCCATCTAACTGCTAATAGACCAGAAAATCCAAATGAACTGATTTCACTGTCTACACAAAATGCTTTTTGTTTTTTTTTGTTTTTGTCTTTTTCGTTTTTATCGGTACCAGGGATCGAACTCACGACTGCCTGTTTGCAAGGCAGGCGCTTATGCCGCTGAGCTAAATCCCCAGCCCCTATGCTTTTTGTTCTTATGAAGTCCCAGGCTAACAGGCTGTCCCCCCAAATTTATATGCTGAAGCCCTAAATCCTAGCACCTTAGAATGCAACCATAGTGGGGCCTTGTAGAGGTGTTTACATTAGAGGCCTTTAGGGTGGACCCTGATCCAATCTGACTAGGGCCCTTATGGGAAGAGCTGGGTTCATAGACACATCAGGGATGACCCCACAAGGACACAGGGAAACACCATGTGTAAGCCAAGGGGAGAGACCTCAAGAGGGGACACCTAAATCTTCAACTTCCAGCCCCCAGGATGTGAGCTATGAATGTCTGATATCTAAGCTGCCCACCTGCGGACTCTGCCATGGTGGCCCCAGGAAACTAACAGTGCACAAAAGCTGCCAAAGCTCTGAGAGGAAGGAATAGGTCACACCTTAGGAACCTGCAAGGAGGGATGAAATCCCACCAGAGGCTCACAAATCCTGGCAGGGCGGACAAAGGTCTTTGTCCAAGGAACCAGCTGGGTGGGATGGGTTTGGGCGGGATAAGGAGAGAGCAGGCAGAATACTTCTGTCTGCAGACAATGATAACGAACTCAACAGCCTTGGACAGCTGGGACACACAAGGTCTGCAGCATGGCTGGTCCACTCAGCAGCTCAGTGGTGACAGCAAGGACCCTGGAACCTCCCCAGTTCCTCCCAGTGTCCTGCTGTGCACTCAGGTTGGCTTATGTAGGATCTGCCTGTAAGTTGCCCCTGGCAGTTTGTCACATCCTGATGGGATTGCATCCCGGTGGGATGACGTGCAAGAGGCAGCAGCTCTCAGGAATGAGGTCCTTTCCCAGCAGATGCCACTCCTGTCTCATCAGGCACAAGAGGATGGGCACCAGTTCCTGACCCAAGCACTGGAAGTGGTGCCACCAGGGCCAAGGGACAGTTCAGCAGCTGTGTGTATGGATCCCAGGTCCACAAGTTCCAAAGGGATCCTGGGACCTGGGTCAGTGCTCTAGGAAGAACCAGGCAGACAGGGGCTGGGATTTAGCTCAGTGGCATAAGTACCTGCCTTGCAAGCAGGTGGCTGTTTGATCCCCAGTACTGACTAAAAAAAAAAACAAGAACCAGGAGGACAAAGATCCTGGTCAGCACACAGAAACCTGAGGAAGATGATTAGAAGTTGTCGTGGCTCTGTCTGACAGAAGAGGAAGGAAGAAGCATCCTGCTGCTCAGACCCCTGGAGTGGGAGAGGTGAGGTGGCCAGCAGGGTGGACATTTCCCCTCTCACAGTGACTACTTCTCCTTGGTTACTAGACACGTGGCCAGGATGTGACGGCAGCCGACCTTGGTCAGCCAGACCACTGCTTCTCCGAACCTGGACCCCAACACTCCACACGAGGCACCCAGTGGCTGGCAGGGTATTGGACACGGCACCAGACCCTGCCCCCTTCCACAGCTCAGCTAGGAGAGCAGAGGACTGCAGACCAGCAGAAATGGTGCCAGACAATATATGCCATTTATTTATTTTTCCAATTAAGAGAAACAATACATTATGAAAACAGGTAACTTAGAAAATATAAAACTCCCGTGAGGGAAACAGCCAAGGCCCTCTGGCCCAGCACTCCTAATGCTGCCAAGTTCATCCCGCCTCTGGGGATGGTGGGAAGGGCATATCAGGCTCCTCTGGGCTGGCACTGGCATCTCTTCCTCTCCCTCAGATGTCCAGGCAAAGGGGGCCCAGGAAGCCCCAGAGCTCCGCAGGGGCAGTAGGCCCTGTGCCACCTGCAGCAGCAGTGCTGAAGGCAGAGTTCCTGGTGCTCTGTGGTGCTGTGGAAGCCCTTGCTCGGTTGCTGGGCTCTCAGACCATGCAATCCCTGTCCAGTCTGTCTGCTCATCTCTAAAGGGAAAACCATCTACCACCTGGGCCACCAAAGCAATGAACAAAACCTAGGAAGGACTGACGTTCTACATGGTGCACAGAAGGCTCAACAAATGTCAAAGTACCAGTCAAGTCTTCCCACTGACCTACTTCACATCAACCCTGTCTCTTCTCCCCTGCGCTACTTGGGACTGAACATGGGGCCTTTGCACTGAGCTATCTTCCTCTCTAAGCCTTCTTGAATTTTTGCTAAGTTGCTAAATTGTCCAGGCAAATTTCCAATCCTCCTGCCTCCCCCCTGAAGAATGCTAGGATCACAGGTGTGCATCACTATATCCACTGAACACTCTTTTTTCTTTTTCTTAAGACAGGGTCTCACTGTGTAGTTCAGGCTGGCCCCGAGCTCACAGCAATCCTCTTGCTTCTGCCTCCCCCGTGCTGAGACTGCAGGTCCACACCTGGCTCAACCCTATTAAACAACAACAAAAACAACTTTTGTGTGCCCAGGCCTGGGTCAGTCCTACCCAGGGCAGCACCTAACTGGCCTGCTTGGCTAAAGCATCCGTGAAGCTGCCAACTCTAGAACTGCAAGCAGTGGGCAGCCTCTCGAGGGATCTGCAGGCTCCCTCAGACAGCACAGCAGACAGGGCCCAGCGCACTGGAGCAACCCAGGCAGAAAACCTCGGGGAAGGAGGCCAAACGGGACCCTCCCTCCGGAACAATGAATACCCTGTCATTGTTTTGCCTTTAATGACATTTTTGAACACTTAATATGCAGACATCTGTTCCTTAATGTTTCGTCTTTGTTCATCTGTCATCCTCAGAATGAAAGTCCAGGACCTTCCGCACTAATTTTAAAGTCCGGCTGAACATTGAGTAACGAACAAAACTGAAAACACAAAAGGAAAAACACAGCGTTTTAAAATCTTGCTCATTTCTGCTCACTAATGAGAACATAACCCTCTTGTGACTGCAGCTTTTCTTGTCACCAGACCTTAGTTAAGTCCCAACACCTGTCCCCCAACCATCCTCGGTTGTCCTGCAGAGACAGAAACGATTTGCTCCTAGGACTATTCACAGGCACAAAGCACACTCCCAGGACCTGCGCAGCCGCCCCGTGGAAGGCAGAAAGAGACACGCAGAGAACAAACCTGTCTAAACTTTCCTCTAATTCTGTCTAAGTCTTCGTGGAGCTTGTCGTAAGTAGGGTCATCATAGGGGAACCTCTGAATCATTCCAATCAGTGACTCCAAGACCTTCATCTTCCTGCTGCAAAGCACAGAATAAAGGCCCTTAGTCCTTTGTACACAACGAGCTTGGCTTATGCAATAACCGTGATGATCACTTAAAAGCAATGGGTGTGCTAAGAATGCCCCAGTTTGGAGCCCGAGGATTAATGTTCTCATTAAGCTACATAATATTTATTTTCCTAGCAACAGGCTTTTGCCCACACCTCGAGCTTCACAGCAGATAGACACGTGGCACCCAGATGTGCGGAGCAAGTGGCTGGGGCGACCTGCAAGGCTCTCTTGGTCACAGACACCGAAACAGACAGAACCAGGCGAGAAAGCCAGCAGCTGGGGCACGAACAAGCCTGCTCTGCTCTGGGAATTTTCCAGGAGGGCAGCATGGACTCACAGCCTTTAGGGGTTCAGCTGCAGGTAACCTGGCCCCTCCCTGTGAGGGTAGCACCACTCCCTGGTGTCACAGCTCCATTCCCCTTGCCAGGAAGCCCAGGGGCTTGAGGGAGGCTGAAGAAAGGTGCCCGCTTAGGATGTGGGTGGCTCTGGGCATGTATCCAGGACACTCAGTCACTTCACTCCTCTGAACCTCAATGTCCTCATCTGCAAAACCAGGAAGCAGAGACTCTGCGTACTTCGATCCACGGGAAATCTAAACTCTAGGAGCAAGCAGCCACTCAAAACTGCGATTCTGGGGCTGGGGATTTAGCTCAGCGGCATAAGCACCTGCCTTGCAAGCAGGCGGTCGTGAGTTCAATCCCTGGTACCGATAAAAACGAAAAAGACAAAAAAAAAAAAAAAAACTGCGATTCTCCTTGCTACCATGGATCCTGGTGATAGGGATCTCACCTAGGAGCCTTAAAAATATCCTATTTGTGTGGCCTGGGGCTTTTCAAGGTACAGGTGACTAAGGGAGCACACTTGCCCTGGACCACCTGTCCCTCAAAGGCACATCAAAGAGGTATGGTAGGTATTTGATTGATGGCAATTCAAAGCAACCATGATCTCCCGAGCGCTCCCCACAGGGTATAGTTAAACACACAGATGAGTAAATTTGCCTATGGCAAGATGGGCTGTCAGGCCTCCATGCTCTCCCTGTCCTCTCTTCGGAAACCGTCTAAGGAAGTCGTGCAAGTGCCCAGCTCCTAGCAGATGCCGAGGTGAGGGCTGCATTGTGTGCAAACAGCACCATCACTGCTGAGAAGCAGTAGCAGCATGTCAAGAGTTTACCAAGAAGCCCAGTACTCGGCTGAAAGTGCCACCTTTGCTTGGTGACAGCTCTTTGTGGCTCCTTAGGTGCCGAAATGCCCACTCCGTTTGGGCAGACCACATATGTGGCAGCTGTTTTCCCTTTAATACCCTTATCTAAAAATTCTTCACCCTTCACCTTTCACAACTAATCCTACTAGGTTAGGGGCAGAGCTCAGTGGCAGGGTACATGCTTAGCATACGTGAGGTCCTGGGTTTGATCTAAAAAAAAAACTGTACTGACTTAGAAAATCCAAACATCTACAAACATGGAGGCTTTAGATTCCAGACACCTCTGGGCCCTGCCAGGTGGCAGGTGGCACAGAAGTGGGCCATCTTGAAGGGGCTCCTTCTCTTTCTGACAGACTGCATGTGCCACTTGAAGATATTAGGAGACCCTTGCTCTGGGGTAGGGCTGGTCACTGCCTGCCCTGCACCACAGACTGATAGTGGGGAGAAGGGGAGACTACTGGAGAGTTCCCCAACAGTGCCCTTCAGGCTTCTATCCTTTCTGGACCCACTGGAGAGCCAAGCTCAGCTATGACTGCCCCCCGGTGGCAGCACAGGTACCTCACCACCAGCAGCCCAGTCCCTGCCCAGGCCCCAGGAAAACCCTTTACAGTACACCCTAGGTTAACCTAAGCAGATAGACAGAGCAGGCAGGTCACATGGACAAGCCAGACTGCAGGTAACACTGGCAGCATCACACTGTCACGAGTATCCTCATCCTTACTTTTGAATATGGGTGCGACTCGGACTGTAGAAATTCAAAATATCTCAAATAAAAGAGCAAATCATGCCATCTCCCCTGCCATGCTGCGCCAGGCACCAGGTACCAGAATGCTACACAGGGCCAGCCTTAAATCCAGCTTCTCCTGTGACCAGCAGAGTTGCCCAACTGCACACACCGGCTACTTAAGGGTTTGTTTCCAGCCTAAGGATGAAAACCAGTGAGACAGGCTCCTATGGACTGAAGGCAGGCGGGCAGGCAGAACATGGCAGGATGTTTCATGAAGGCAGAAAAATAATTCAAACGGCAGCTAACATTGCGTAGAGCTTCCAAGGACTCAAAAATGAGTCACGCACACTGGAAGGCTTCCTGGCTGGTCAGCAAAAAGCTGCCGACAATCGGGTCAGCACTTCCTAAACCTCACAGACCCCTGCAATCTGTTCATCAGCAGCTCAGGGGAGGGATGAGTAAGCCAGAAGTCACTCAGTATCACTTTACTGCCACAGTGTCCAAAAGCCCCTCGGTGCTGTAATAAATAATTCTAGGGACAAGGCAGGGAAAACAAGAACTCCTTGAGAAGTAACAGTGACCAGTGCTGACCAGATGTCCAAAATGTGCCAGCACTGTCTGGTATTTCCTTTAACTTTCCTAACAATATCCAAATTAGACATCATTATTTTCTGCATTTTATAGATGAGGAAACTGAAACAGAATAATGAGTAAGGTCACTGGGAGAAGCTGGAAAGCCAGAGCTCCCCTTGGCCCATGCATTGAGGAGAAGGAAAAAGGACAGCTCCAAGGTCACCTGTCTTTCTCACTGGCACAACTATGCAGCAGGCACTTCCACACGAGAGCAAAACCTTGATAGCACCCGATCTGCCAATTAAAAAAGATTGAACAGTGAGGTTAGCAAGCAACTAGTTACACTTTCTAATAACAAAATGCAAGGCACAAGCAAGGACAGCCAAGCTTTTTTTTTGTCTTTTTCCTTTTTATTGATACCAGGGATCGAACTCACGACTGCCTGCTTACAAGGCAGGCGCTTATGCCGCTGAGCTAAATCCCCAGCCCCAACAGCCAACCTTCTTTTCTGTTACTGTTCTGGAAGGACATACTGAACTTTGGACAACGGAAGTTATATGGTTAAGGCATCAGCGACCGAGATGGCCTCCACAATGCTTACTCCTGTCTCCATGCCCTGAGCTATCCCCTTGGCTGCCATGGAGGTGGCCTGGGTCACCAACAGAACCCAGAGAAAGGAGTGCTGACTTCTGAGGCCTCACTTAAAAGACCAATGTCACTTCTGCTTGCTCTTGGGGATCACACTCTTGTGTCAGGACCACTGAGCACACAAAAGGAAGGTCCAGGCCCTCTGTCACCTGAGTGAGGAATGCGGGGCCAGAGCCTCCAGCCCCTGGGCCTTTGGAGCAGATCATAGCTCTGGCTGACACCCTGGCTGCAGCTTCCTGAGACCCTGAACCAGAACCCCTCAGCCAGGAGGCTGCTGAATTCCCTCTCCTCATCAGAAACGCTACAGGGGAAACACAGGTGTGTGCTCTAAGCCCCTGTGCTGTGGGTACCTGCTTTGTGCCATGAAATATCTGATGTTGCCCTGACTGCCTCACCTCGGGCTCTGTCATTTAGGGCCAGGTATCTAGCTGTAAGAGAGGGCCAATCTAGGACAAAGGACAAGAGAAAAAGAAGTAGGAATTGTATGGAATTTCTGTTTTTGCTTGTTTTGTGCGATAGGGCCTTGTTATGCCGTTCAGGTTGGCTTTAAACTCACTATGTAGCCCAGGCTGTCCTTGGACTCATAACAATCCTCCTGCCTTAGCCTCTCGAGTAGAATTTCTCTGTAAACCCAGGCACCCACTCTGAGGTTGAAGATACTAGAAAGTACCATGACACACCAGTGTAAGTTGAGGTGATCAAGGACTTGTTCTTTCATCCCCCAGCTGTGTAATTTAATTATCTCCACACAGCAAGGTGCAATCAGTTCTGTACTAATACTTCTCCATCAGCATTCTGTCCAGTCCAGTAATTCCAACAAAAAGCCTTGCTATGCTCCTAGGCCTGATGCTCTGGATTGAGCTCACTGAACCTCAAAGTAAACCACAAACTGTAAAGGAACAGAGTGTTTATGAATGAGGGTTATCACATACCTCAGATCCAATTTTGGCTCCATGTAAGGTACCATATTGTCTTCCTTCAATTATACCCAAACTACTGCCTTCTTCATAGCCTTCCTGGTAACCTTCCCCATGGAACCTGAGATGGAGAAGCACACTTTATCAAACAGGAAACAGCTTTTTCTGAAGGTAACTTTCCTGTCTTGTATTATCTAGACCCCCCCCACACACACACACCCAGAATAAGACAAAATAGAGCAGAAAAAGTCTAAAATGAAGGTCCATTGGTGCGGGTTCTGGGGTCAGCTCTGGTCAGCTCTCTCTTGCTCTGAGTGTCTTTTCTGGCCAGTTATAGTGCTGTATGAGACCAGCTTTTTTGTTTTTTTTCCTTCATCTGCAGGAGGAAGATGAGCTAAATGAGTGATTTTCCAAACTGGTAAGGAGTCAGAAATACACAGTGGAAATTTTAAGTTATAAACACCAAAGCCGGGGCTGGGGATTTAGCTCAGCGGCATAAGCGCCTGCCTTGCAAGCAGGCAGTCGTGAGTTCCATCCCTGGTACCGATAAAAAGGAAAAAGAGGAAAAAAAACACCAAAACCTAATAGCACAGAAATCTGGAGTAGGGCCGGGGATTTAGATCCGTGCCTCAATGCTTGTCTGATTAAGTGCAAAGACGTGAATTAGTTCCCTAGTACCCTCAGAGAGAGAGCGAGAGAGATAGAGAGAGAGAGGGAGAGAGAAAGAGGGAGAGACAGAGAGGGAGAGAGAGAGAGGGAGAGAGAGAGAGGGAGAGAGAGAGAGGGAGAAATCTGGAGTAAAGTTCGAGAATCAACTTTTCAAATCTCCTAACTTGCACCAGTTGTCTCCAAAAATCTCTGAAATACATTCTGGTCTTTTCATCAAAACGCAGTAGAATAACAGGGAGGAATGCCATTACATCATCACAAAATGAGATAACTGGAATGTAACAAAGGGATTGACTTTAATCGTTCAATAGTGGCACTGATACTGCTTTAACTAACAGTCAGAAATATGGTGTTTTGGGGCAACCGTGGGACAGAGTGTACAGTTCCGCGCTTACTCATCATACGGCCCTGGAGTGACCTTGCCCTCTCATCTGCAAAACAAAAACAAGATCCATTGTCTAGACTGGGCTAAAACAGCTGAGAAAAACTACTCAGCTGGGTTTTCTTTCAAATTAAATCCCGAACAAATGTCAGGGACAGAGTGTTCAATGTTCACTGGCTGCGTTAACTGACATACTACCGATGTCACCAGTGGACCGGGCCTGAAGACAGCCAAAAGGCCAAAACTCACAGCTCCACCCTGTTGCATCCCTGGGAGCTCCCCAGAGGCTCTGGAGACAAAGCGATGCCGCCTGCCATATTGATCAACAGGTCCATGAATACTGCCGTATGCCTGGCAATTAAGAGACAAGAAAAGTAGCAGCTCCCAGATGGCAAAGGCCTGTGCCACTAGAGGAAGGGGCGTTCCTGGAGGAACGCAGTCCTCGGGCCGAGCAGATGCTGGAGGCAGCGAGTGACGAGAGAGGCGGGTCCCGAGCAGCTGGGCGCGTGGCGGGTCTGGGAGTGCGAGGAGCAAGCCAAAATCATTAGCATCTCGGCCCCACACTTGTTTTCAGGACCATACAGCGCGTACTCAACGCACAAGCCCGCAGGGCGCCAGACTCAAGCGAGTACTCTAGCCCGCAGCCCATCAACTCAGAAGACCAAGGCTGGAACTCCCGGCGGCCGCAGCTCAGCCGCGCCACCCACCTCTCATCCGCCATCACGATGGCGTCAAATATGTCCTGGCTCTCGGCCATTGCGGATCCAGGTCCTCCCCGCTACCTTTCGAGTGTCCTAGCTCGTAGGGGTACAGTCCCCAGCTCGTGAGCGTGAGAACAAACGTCTCGCCTCCGAGGGGGTGAAGTCTACTTCCGGAAGCAGCCGCGCGGGGCCCGCCGGGAAAGGACGGTACGCAAGATGGTCCAGAAAGAATCCAGGATCCAAGCACAACTGCGGCAGTGGGCGGGTCAGGGCTTCAATGCAGCCCCGCCCATTTTCCGCTTCTCCTCCCCCTCTGCTCCACCACTGGTGGGTCTGTCACCGCCCAGACTTTCCAGTTGTCTGAGGTTGGGGGCTGCCGACCCCGATTTTAGTTTTTGAAAAGACAGGCCGATGTGAGTGAATTGAAATGAAAAAGTTATCAAAGAACCGGCTGCTCAGGATGCTCCGGGCCCGGAAGCTCTGCCCGTGGGATTTGGGGCTGCGGGTCGGGTCGCGCAGTCCTGGAGAGCCCGCGGCGGGGTGCAGAGGGCTGGGCGCGGTGCAAGCAGCGTGAGGGTCCGCGGCCACACCGCCGGACTGCAGCAAGCGGCTGGATGTGACCAAGGAGGAAGGGCCGATTAGCACAGGGACATCCAAAACATAATAAATATTAAATGTGGCCATCTGCTCTTGGTATGTTAGAAGTTCTTTGGAAGGTAAAATACAAAAGGTTGTTTGTGTGCGCAGTTACCTTGTTTGTTTTTGGTCTTTTTTATATTTTGTGTTTTTTTATAGGGATTTTTTGTTTTTCAGGTTTGGAGCTGAGGACCGAACCCAGGGTTTCCAGCTTGCTAGGCAAGCGTTCTACCACTGAGCCAAATCCCCAACCCCGAATGTTGGCTGTTGCTCTGTGAATTTAAAGCCAATACAAGATGATTCATGTTGCATAAGAAACTTTAGAGAAGTTTGACCCCCTCCCCCTTCCCAGGTATTCCAACTGGAGGCCTCCGTTCCTATGAAAACAACAACAAAAATTCCACAGGATTGGGTTTTAGCTCTCCTAGGTCATCTTCATGAGAGATAATTTCTGAACAAGATTTTTAACAAGCTATTTGAAACTACCAACCACAAAACATACATGTGAAACACTAGAAATACTTCCTTTCAAATGAAGAATAAAACAAAAATGCCTTTATCACATATATGCTAACCGGATATTTTTCTGCTAGACCCAGATCATGCAGTAACATGACACACAAGAAGTGTAAGCATTAGAAAGAGAAAAAGTATCACTATTTCCAAGTGTCATGCCACCCACAAAAAATTATTTGAAGCCTCAGAATTCCTAAGAGTCCAGCAAATAGCAACACACATGTGTACTAAGATAAAACTGCTTGCTTTCTGCTGTTCCAACAATGATTAGCAGTTCCCTGTGCAGGAAGGTGATGGGGTATTGCTTTACAGTAGTCAGAAATTCCTTAGAAGTAACGATTTCTAACAGGACTCATGTGAAACAAGCTAGAGATAAATACACCAGGATCCTGGGTGAGAAGATTGTACAAGTCAGCACCATGCAATAATCCGGCGATCTGGGAAAATTTTGCCTAAACTCTAAGTTTCATTGGCACGACTAAGCTGTTAACAATAACAAAGGTCAAATTCCGTTTATAGCTTACACCGTTCATCAAAAATAATTCCAGATGCCAGGTGTGGTAGCCGATGTCTGTGATCCCAGCAGTGGGTCAACTGAGGCAGGAGGATCACCTCAAGTTCAAAACCATTTTGGATTACACAGTGAGATCCTGTCTCAAAAAAAAAATCCAGGTGAATTAAAGAGTCAATTGTAAAAAAAAAAAAAAGACATTAAAATCTAGATGGAACACTCAGGTGCATAAGAGGTGTGCTTTTGAACACAAGACATGGAGGAAATCACAACTGAAAAAATTGATTTGAACATATGAAAATACAAATTTCTGCATGCCACAAGTGGGAACAAAAGACAAATAAAATTAAAAACCAAAGAGCAATATGGAGAAATGCTTGTCATAAACATTATGAAGGAGTCGTATTTTTTGCCTATAAAGAATTTATTAAAGTGGATAAATAAGTATGTGTATCTTAACAGTGACATGGAAAGGACCAAAGATGGGAACAAACATAATTCAGGAGAGCAACAGGGGGCTGACCAAGGACATGCAGGCACCCTCATTGGCAGCCACAGGGACCCCCAAACAGGCAATGAAATGCTTTTCTTTTATCTTTAAAATATGTCAAAATTATTTTTTTCTTTCTCTTAGGATTAAAAGAGGTTTTCATTAAAAGGTGCATACATTCAAGCTAACTTTCGATCGCGTGGTTCAAAAAGTCAGGAAAGATACTTTATATTATACACTTTGACCTGGTCATTTTATTTCTAGTGTTTTCAACTCAAGGAAACCATCAGAGAAATGTGTGAATTTTATGCACAATGATGTACAGGGCAGTGGGCTTTGTAAAATCAACTAGAAAAGCAGCTTAAAGTGACCAAATGGCAGACTGATGGTGACTCCTGTGGCCGGATAATTCACACTGAACATTCTTAAGCAACTACACTGAAAAGTGTGCGGAAAATGCTCACAAAATTTGAAGAAAAAGAAAACTCTGCAGATACTCATGTTCCCATTATGTCAGACAGTTATTCAAAGACAGTACAATAAAGTATTACTGATGGCTGTATCTAGATTTTGAAATTATAGTACTTTTACCTTGTTTATATATTTTTAGAGCATTCTGTGTTTGTACAATCAATGTAAGGTAGTTTCATAAGCATGAACAATTCAGTACAATATCTTTCAGAACATAAAATTAAATAGAATTTACATTATTTTGTTTTAAAATTTTACTTTTTACTTCTTTTCCTAAGCAAATGAAATCACAAAAGACTTGAAATATACAAACATGGAAAAAACAAGCAAGCGGGGAAAAAAAATTCCTACAACTCTGACCAGTTGATTTTTGTTAATTTTGTTAATTTCTTCCCTTGAATTTGCACATAAGCTTTCTGTTTGTACAACTGTATATCTTCTCCTGCCCACTTAACATTATATTTCAGACCAGATCAGGCATGTTCAGGATGGTATGGGCCGTAGACAAGATTACATTTCAAACATTTCCTAACAAAAGGAACTGTCCTCTTCTTATTACCTATTTAAAATACATTTTTTCTGCATGAAGTTTGTTAGTTGAAATAAAATAACAGATAAGGGGGGCCACTTATAAAGCTTATGATCATAGAAACTTACATAGAAGAGTACAAGTCCCCCCAGTTGATGTGCTTGGAAATTTTGTTGTAGTTTTTTTTCTTCTTTTTCCTTTTTATCCTTGAAATAAAATGGATTTGGAAAAAAATGACTACAAGTCTTAATGTCAAATTTTTTAAAACTTCTGCAAAGTTTGGAAAGATTATACACCTACAATCAACAATATTTACCTAGGAATACAGATTTGGAGACATTCCTGCAACCCTAAGTGGTTTTGTCACTAAAATATGTTTTTGAACCCAAATGTGTCTTAAATATTAAAAGAGAAACGACTAATTATGTTATCTTGGGTTTTCAATATTACACTTACAGTTGATTTTTCAAATGAGGAGCAGAATTTAAGAATTGAGCTCTGAAGGATAAAGGGGAACCTGGAGATGTGGCTCAGGGGTATAGCTGTTTGCCTTGCATATTGGAGGCCTGGGTTCAATCCTCAGCTCTTTGAAAGAAAAAAGGTAAATATTATTTATTTCAAAATCCTCCCGTAAATTTAAGTTTTGATATTTTAGCAACTTAACACATTACAAACAGGAAAAATCCGAACCCCTCCCCTTGTTATGTCAGTATTTGAGAAAACGTTGATAATCTTTGCTTGTGTGTCTTTTACAAACTGAAATTTTCTCGCTGGTTGAGTGTGACAAATTCACAGTACAAATGACAAACTTGCCTGTACAATGAAAACAACAGGAAGACAGTTATTAAAGATGCAGTCCTCTCAAAAAAAATAAAATAAAGATGCAGACCTCTCTAAGCTTCCGTTTTTAATTTTCCTGAAAGTTGCTGTGACTGTTTTTATTCTTGTGGTTTCAAGAAACTGCTAAGTTGAGGCTATAGCCTAGTGGCAAAGCCTTTTGTCTAGCATGTGTGTGGTCTGGGTTCAATCCCCGGTTCTGGAAAAAAAGAAAGAGAGAGAGAGATTATCAAACAATTTTTTTTAAAAAAAGATACAAAGACTAAGAGATAACCAATTGTTGGAAGCCCATCACACTAAGAAATAAAGTACTTATTTTCATGTATCCTTTGTTCAAGTTCAATATAACTAAAATGGAAAAAGATCAAGATTTAATGTGGAAAAGTGTTCACTCACAGGAATTGATTTTTATAATTTTTTAAATATCTCTATCACCGTACTGGGTGATTTCCAAAATTAACGAAATCAAATCAAACCAAGCCAAATCTGATTATGGAGGTCTATGGTTGTTAACCTAGAAACATATCCAGTATAGTAGGTTATGTTGTTTTCTTTTGAAAGAAAAGCAAGCTAACATCAGACTATTTCATTTGTCCTTATCTGTCTCCAAGATAAGACTCAAACACATCAACATGTTTTATACATGTACAAAAGCAGTCTGCTGAGATGCGGGTCCCAGCGCTCATGTTTGAGTGACAGGATTACGAGACAACTTTTATTTTTTTCTATATCTTGTGATTTGGGTTGTGTGTGTGTTTCATGTTTTTGTAAGAAGCACATGTAACTTATGTAATGGGGATAAGCTATTTGTAACTCATAAAAGGACCTCATTAGGTAAAAATTCACTTTAAGGAAAATCTTCACGTTTCTATATTCATCAAAAGTAAAGGACAACACAGCTGGAAAAAAACAGTCAATTTGGGGATGCTTTAAATCCAAGTTTGGTGGGGAGGAGAATCCAAAGGGTGACCCCCCACACACTTTCCAGCTTGCTTTCTTTCCTGTTCTCTCCCTAAAGAAGCCTGCCAGGAAGGAAGCACAGTACCATTTTCTACCTGTCTGCTGGGGAACCCTGCTTGCCACAGCGCAGGAGGCCTGGGATGGGGGCTGGACGCTGTCACTGTGACCAGTGAGTGAAAGCCAGGCTCCTTGAGCAGCTGCCCAGCCCAGAGGGCCCTGGCTGGCAGGCCTCAGCTACACCTTGCCCAGCCTGAGAGCCAGGG